ATTTTATATATCCGCGGTTCGGAATTGTGTTTTGTTGACTGCAGATTTTTGCTGTTTTGCTGTTTTGTTGCTAATTTATTTGTTGATTGCATTGCAAATTGCAGTTGAATTGTGTTGAAATATTTTCGTCTAGTAAAATTTATTACTATTTTCACTCTTTTTCAATCGGTATGCATACAAGTATTGTATGTATCAATGTAAATCTGCTTTTATGTTAAGATTTCTGGTAGAAAATCCGCAATGGCTTGTTTACAAGACATCGATATATTGCCTGCAATGGTGCAAACATACTTTCGTCTAGCGTTTGTCATTCCTATTTGGTAAGGTGGAAAAAGTATCTTTATATTACTGCTATCACAGTGAATTGTTGTCACATTCAGTTAATGTATTTCAATAGATTAAAAATGAAAATGAATGAATTGATGTTGTTTGTTTGTTTGTTTATATATTTTGCACACTCATTCATGATTGCAGTCTTGTTTTATTTGTCGACTTGCTGTACTCTCTGGGGAACGATTTTAAAATCCAATAAATTTTTATTCAGTTCTCATTCCATTTACATTAGATTCAGTATACAATCTCAGATCTTATACACCCGGTAGAGTAGAGGGGCGTGCACAATCGCCTGTGTGTGCTGAGTATCTGAGTATTTGCAAAGCCAATGCGTATCTGTTTCCTAATCAAAGTTCCAGAGATTAAAAAGGTATTTCTGTTTATTCGTTATTTATTTTATGGCTCACGTTCATTGCTTAATAAATTTCTATTTGGATACGGTAATTCTATTGATAAATTAACATTTCCGCACATTCTGCGAAGCACCTTAACGAAGTGAAAGTGGGCAAATAAGGTGTCGTTTGGTGTACTCCTACCACCAGTCAACGCATTCGATTGATATATGTGGAACGTATCAATTTAATTAGATTTTATGGTTTCAATTTAACTTGTTTTTAATATAATTGTAAATTTATTTTAAATTATTATAATTTTTTTTTCAATAGCATTTTTTTAGACAGTATAAAAATATTTAATGAAATTGTTACGCTCTCATCCTGATTAATATAATTATATTTATCTGATATTGTATCAATAAAAGTTTTTAAGTTTCTTTTTTTTTATCAAATTAAGTTAATTAAAATAAAATTCGTTTTTAAACATATTTTTTTTTAAATGCGTTTTTTAAATTCAACAAAAAAATCCTTATTCAATCCGTTATTATTATTTTATAAATGTTCGATTTTAACAAAAAAAATTAGCATTATCTTAATTGACTTAATTATCATTTGCAGCGTTCAGTTAATGTATATTAAGTTAAAATAACATTTAATGGACGAAATGTTAATTATTTTTGTAACATAGTGAAAAAGACATCGAATACAATATGAACTACATATCGTATATTGTATATTTATATTCATGAACTTGACAGACTAATTAGTTTAGCGATATCCACATATCCGTTTGCCAGTAAAATATGCTGTCAGATTTTGAATTAATCAAAAGACAAGTAATGCGAGTTGACAAATGAATGGGTAATTATATTATACAGAAACATACAAAAAACAAATGCTACAATTTAAGTTATATTTATAAATATATTCAGCCACTCAATAGGTATAGATATAGGCTGGCACAAGAAAGGCGCCGTTATTGACAAAATAATATAATTTTTAGAAAGTGATATTAAGTTTTGATAAGTTGATAAGAATTTACTGGAGTTGCTCTGGCTGGGAAAATATTACCTTGGCACTGCTCTGTCGAAATAAACGATTTATCGATAGTTTACAAAGTTTAAATATGATCTTACAACCACAGATATTGTTGAATGCTGTGAAAACTCGATGGTTATTTGTGAAGACAACAAACTAACCCCCGATATCATTCCAAATGGACGTGAAGTGATAATTGTCCGTTAAAATGTATGAAAAGACAGTTTTAATAATGTGAAAGATTTGTTAGAAGTACATATAGGTCTAAAGTAGCTTTAGCACAATAAAACAGTTTTTTTATGCGATATGTGACAATGAACGAAATATGAATTCATCACAATACCTTGAAGTCAAATTAGCAGTCTGATTTCTGTGTTTTTTAAGACCAAGACTCCCCGGATCTTTATCCCAAAGACCAATTTATATTTGCAGTCTTTAAAAGAAAGCAAGGACAAGAATTTGATTCTAATAAAGACCTGATTCCGTAATCTGAAGTCGGTTTATACCATAGAGATAACAATTAATATTTAAAACCGAAGCGTTAAGCAACAGCTGTTAAGTATGATTAAATTACATTTCTATGTTAGTTACATAAAAAAATTCTAATATTGAGGAAGACAAAACTTAAGAAACTTTTCTGAAGAGCATTGAAGAATTAATACTTTTCATTACTTAAAAAATAACAATTTTTGACTTTTGTTTATATATCATTAATTACTTATATTATTTTCTGAAAATTAATTAGGTATATTATTACTGAAAATTAATATTGAATATGAAAATTTTTTTACAATGTATTCTTAATATTATTTATTTCAAAAGAAACTTTATTTATTTATAATATTCTTGAAGAAGAAGATTATACTTTGAATAAGCCACATCCTTCTATTTGTTTTAGTTCTAATAAATTTATTTTAATGAAATCTAGTTTGTCAATGTGATTAAGTAGCTAAAGTGGGTGCAATAAGACCTTGTTTAATCTCCGCATATCAGGTTTTTTCAAAGATAATACTAATAGGTACTACGATTAATTTTATGATGATCTTCAACATTCAGTAATCCAATAGAATCATGTTTCTGTACATACAGTAAGTATATTATGCCGATCTCATTAGGATAGGGAACTGATCAAATTAGCTATAACGATTATGTCAAAAGTGAAAATCAATATATTCCAATATTTGTTTTTTTATTTTAAATTAAACCATTTATTACAATAAAAAATAATTAATCAAATACATAATAAACACAAATAATAAATATATATTTTTCTTTTTTCAGGTAAGTTGTTCCAAAAAAAAATCATTTTCGTGAGTTACTTTTTCATTTATATATATATGCTTTTTAAAGGAACTAA